AGACCATGATCCTTAAGGGACGTGCCTGAAAAGCTGATGAATATTCTGTTGGGATCCTCCCTTGACACTTCCAGATAAATACACTCAGGATGAAGGACCCAATGCAGTTCTCACTCCTGGGAGCACTTCCACGCCTTTCCCCACTCTCTCTCTTCTTCCCTGCTGGCCAGGTACTCTCTCCTAAGCTCCAAGGGCCCTTCCTTTGCCTTTGTAACTTGTTTCCTGAGCCCATTCCCTTCAAGACTCACTTCTTCTACCTCTGTGACTTTCTGAATAAACTTTTGCTTGTATTTGAGTCTTGACTCTGAATTCTTCCTTTGACAGAACTCAAGTACTGAGGTTGCTGAACTGAGATCCAATTGCCAGTAACATTCTGGTGTCATTCTTGCCACCAACAAAACCAAGCTTCTTATAGAATGTTGAATGAATTGTAATGAAACTGGCTCAGATCTTTCTTTTATGCACTTCCTTTCTCTCTATAATCTTTTCCTTTCAAATTTCTGTACCTTGGTAGTTTTAAACTCCAGTTCCCCCCTACCCCATATAACACTTTAATCTGTTCTATTCTGCTTCTCTGTAGTTTAGTAACCATGTTCTGCTCAGCTCCTCAGCATCTCTGTGAATTTAAAAATTGGCCTCAACGGAAAAGTAGCAAAACACCACACTCATTTTAGTGAGCTTCTCTTTTCTCCAGCATCTTAGTCTCTCAAATTCTGATTGTCTGCATAGCTTTCCTATCCTATGCTATCAATGAGATTTGTGCATTTAATCAAACTTTTTAAGTTTTTTTCTTTCTCTACCTCCCCTTTTTTCTTCCCTCTCGCCTCTTTCTTCTTCCCTTTCTCCCTCTTTCTTCTTTCTTTCTTTTTTTCTTATCTTTGTTTCTCTCTCTCTCTCCCCCTGCCCCCACCTTCCAAACAAAACCAGAAGCTACTTGGTAATTTCTGCTATTAAATGTACTCTATTTTAAATGTTTCTCTTTTGTTTTAGAATTTTCACTCTTTTCCTTTAGTATCTTTGTTTTCAGAGATGTTTTGCCTCAGTTCACATTTGCTTTATAACAAAGAACCCATGCATTAGTGGATTAAAACAACTATTTATCTCATAATACTGTGGGTTGGCAATTTGAACTTGGCTCAGTTGGCTTGTTGCTTCAAGTCAGTCTTGGCTAATCTTGTATGGGCTCACTCAAGTATCTGCTGTTGGCTGATTGAAGTGTTTCAGTTTTTCTCCATGTGGTCTCTCATGCACCAACAGGTCACACACAGAAGCAGAAGCATGCATTCAAAAACCTCTTCAGAAACCACACACTATTGATTCTCCTGCATTGTTTTGACCAAGGAGGTCACAAGGCCAGCCCATATTCAAAGGATGAAGAAATAGACTCTACCTCTTGTTAAGAGAAGCTACAAAGAATTGTGGTTATATTTTTAATCAATATAACACTTGCTAAAGTCATCATCAGTTTTAATATTTAAGTCTCTTGGACTTGTGTATCTTAATACTTATTTCCACTGCAAATAACGATAGTTTTTTTTCTTGTCCAATTTTTACACTGCCATTTCCTTTCATTGACTGATTGCACTGAATAGATCCCCCAGTGTAATTTCAGATAAAAGTAGTCTGTGTCATCACGAGAACCGTATAGGAAGAACCCTGTATTTCCAACAGAACTCCATGGTTGTACTGTCCACCCCCTCATTTCCTTTTCCCTTTTCCACACTCCTTCTCCACCTCTGTCCGAGGGCAGTGTGTGCATATTGCTCACATGTCTGTGTGCTCTGGATTGCAATCCTTTATTTTCCCCCCATAAATTATTCTGGAGGATAGAATACCTAATCATTTCCATTTTCCAGTTGACTCGGTATGGTATCATCATTCCATGTTTGGCTTGGTTCTCTTCCAGTACTTTTGTAACCAGTACATTTCTCCAGATTCTGGTGCTGTTTTCCAGACCAGACCTTAATCAATATATGTTGCACTAATATCTACATAGAACACAATATATTAAAACGTGTATATAAAATTTGCCCTGAAAATTGTTCAATAATTAAATTTGTTGAATGAGTGAATATATGGGTAGAAGTGTTACTTGAAAGGATAGTTTCATATTTCAAAGTTAAACTTCTAAAGTCCTATCAAAATTCAGTGTAATTATATACTGATGATGAAATTTTAGTAAGAGTAATTAGAAGTGGTGTTAAGAACTTTGAATGGGACTACAGGATTAAAATGATAACAGAAATTCAGAAATGAAAAAGATCTAGAGGCAAGGATTGCAGTCAGTATTAAAACAAGTAGCTTTTGAACATTTTCACTTTGACCAACAGTAAGAAATATATTTTACTTGGAGAATGAATACAACCACACATGCATGAGATGTCTGCTGCATTTTCTATTCATTTTCTTCTCTTCTATCACATCCTATCCAGTATGATACTACTGTTTGAAAAACAAGAACCAAGATAGTCTCTGAAAATTTATCTGTCTTCCTCTACAGAGGCTACTCTTGTTTTTCTGAGCTCAGCCTATATTCACCTCCTTTCTGGTAATGGCAGTATAATTTTCCTCTTAGAAATTAATCCTTTCCTTTTCTTACTCCATAGGGTTCAGGTCAATATCCTGCCCACCTCACATGTTCCCCAACGCTCTCCAATTCTAACAGCTCTGGGGGAGGCCTGTCATTTGATGCTTGGTCGAGTAGAGTAGCCACCTCTGACTACAAAGGATGCCTCAGTAATAGTCACATGAGCTAAGAAAGGCAAATGAGCTCTGGTGCCAAAAACAAGGTCTTGTTTTGCCAGATTGGAAGCTGGTGAGGATCAGGCTATAGATTGCGGAAGCATCCCATGGAGAAAGTGGCCTAGGAGGGGAGCCAATGAGAGGACAGAGATGGAGGACTGATGACATTTGTGACTTTGGGTCCAGTCTCCTTTTCCAGTGCACCTGAAAAAGTGTCTTTTGAAATTCTAATGTAAAAAAAAAAGTTACCCATCAGATGATATTTAGTGTATGAATTTAAATTTTATTAAAAATGTACATTTTCAGACCTCTTTGGTGTCCTACATTTATCAACAAATAGAGCAAAAAAAGACAGAAATTATTACATAATCATTTGTGTCTTAATGGTACTACAAGTACCTAAAATTATTTTTCTATGAAAAAAAATGAGTTGGATATTTGAATGATATTATTAAACCTCAACTTTTTTTTAGTATCCACACATACTTAGTTTTGCTGCTCCGCAAGCCCCACTTCATTTATTAGAAAAAATATATATTATTCACATTAGAACTTTCACTGAAAAAAACAATTAAGAAAACTAAGCTCACCCCAAATTTAATATTTATTTTCTCAACCAATACATACAGATATCACAAAACATTATAGATTTATTTAAAGCTATTTATAGAAGATAAGTTGAAATGTAAAACAACTTTTTTAAAATGTGATTTTATAAATCACATTTTTTAATTCTACTCAGTTTTAAGTGTCTGCATAGTTTATGGATTTGGAAAAAAATCAAAGTAGAAAGTATACTGAAGGCTGCCAATACAAAGAAATATCCATAAATGAAAAGTTTCAGCTACAGCTTTGAACATTACAGTAAAAAATATAGATAATAAGTGATGCAGCACATATAGTACCCATATCATTCCCTAACTGGTGACTTGCACAGTGCATGGACAAGTCTGTGCCTTGTCATAAAACTTTATTAGATATTCACTGATGTTCATTTCTTGGTGTGTTTTTAAAAATGCGTTATGTAAAGATCTAGACAACTGTTACTCATATTCAAATTCCTTCTTAGAAGTAAACAATTTGTTCTCTATGGCAGAATTACGACAGAGCAACATGTGGCAGAACTCCAGTATCTCTAGGAAGTATTTATTAATTTCCCATGGATGGATTTTGTCCCAAGCTGAGAGCTCTAAAGTTAGCTGACAGGGTGAATCATTTATACAATATTTCTATTTCATATTTTTATAAGTGATAAGAAATGGTTGAATAGAAATTTTGTGCTTTTGCTATTATTAACATTAATTATTGCTTGCAAATAGGGTTGCCTAATGCAGACTGTATCTTAAAATACCCTGACAGAAAACAGAAAAAAAATCACAGTTATTTTTCCCTCTTGTGATTATGGCTTTGAACATGTTCAGGCTGTGACAAAATTGGCTTCTGCTCCTTCATAGTTATAGGTAGAACACTAAATAATTTCTGTAGATTAGAAAAAAAACGTTTCATCGAAAAGTAGACACTTTTGAAGTTGGTACAAATAAACAGAGAAGTAGTCTGAAAAAATTAACATTTGTATTTTTTCTTAATGAGCGTATCTTAAACATAACATTTTAGGAGCAATAATTATCCTTTCTGCTGTAACTGTTAAAAATTTCATTCCTGAGATTCTTGGAATCAATTAAAGTTCTTAAAGTAAGCAGAGGAAAGAAATGTTCTTCCCAGATCGGAAGCTGAGCTGTGGATCAACATCTCAGCCGGTTACGTTCTGCCATTTTTCCATACATCAAATTTTTCACACAGGATATTTGACACTGTAATTTATTTCTTAACTACTGGCCCCCAAATGTGCCACACTTTTAAAGAGCTGAAATGTTCAGCCGAAAGATGGCATATAAATAAAAGTTATCGTTACTAAAGATTTGCCATTGAAAGTAGCCTCACTCTTTTAAAATGCTAATATTGAAGCAAAATGAGGTGCTTTTTCTTTTACATCTGGTTTGATTTAAATAACATTCAAGTATCTCCCTTAAAATGATGTTCTGAAAAACATTAATATTTATGAAACACAGGCTTAAATACATTTTCTGAAAAGGAGAATGAATATTCCTCGAATATCCTTTGTCTTCATCATTACTCAAACTATAAGAATCAAAATCTAGCTTTGGTCCACACTATATTTTTGACAGTTTCTATTTTTAATCTGTATACTTGACTAATTACATAGGAAAAAATTAACATCAAATGCATGAAGGCAAAAGTCAAATAATAACATTTTATTTAAAAAACTATATTTAAATGAAGATATGGTCTGAGTATCAGCCACTTGTGCTTATTTGCAGAGATGGCTGATGCAGAAGATGTTCACTGAGCTTTTACATGCACTGGAGTTGCACTGTAGTCTTGAAAATGAATCCCCTTAGAAACTGTGATCTTCATAATAGCGCCATTTAAAGCATCATCTTCAATGAGTATTATTAGTCCATTGGCAATCACTGGTGGGCTAAAAGCAAAGGAAACACGTGTTTGAGAACAAAAGATACAGGCATAATTTTCCCTTCATTTCTGAGTTGCTTTTTAATAATCTACCACCTTTAAAATGTAATAAGGAAATTTATTATACATCAGGAAGCCATCATTACCCCCATTCTTTTTATTCAATTAGGTAACTAAACTATATGATTATGTTATATCATTAAATTATATGATACATTCAGGGGTAGATTCCCATGCCTAAACTTCTGTCATGTGGACAGGAAGGATTTATGAATTTATATTTATTATTTACATTGACAAAATTATTATTTTTTATCTTTATCCTATCAGTATATCATAGACTTGCCAAATAGAAATGTTATTAGAGTAGAAATAAGAATTATAGCTAACATTTATTGAATGCCTGTTATTGATCTGTTGCTGCTTTAAATACTTTACATGTATCAACTTATACGTGGACTTTCAAAAGTCCCAAAAGATTGTTTTAGTATTAGCCCCCTTTTACATGTGATAAAACTGAGCTCCGTGGATAAGTTCATGGTCAGAAGTGGAGCCAGGATTTGATCCCAGATGGTCTGATTCCATCAGTGTGATGGCCACAACTTTGTACTGAGAAACTCCAACTGCTCTAACTCAGACATTGTTCACCGAACTTGTGTGTTGATCCATTGTTCATCATGAAAATGGTTGAAGTTAGGGGGCCATATGAAATTTCACAAAGGCTATATGTAAATCTCGCTTGGAATTTAGGCAGATAGAGAGTCATTGCTCATAAAGGTAGGAAAACATCACCTTTTAAACAGTATCTGATTATGGTTGAAGGTATTAATGATACATTATCTGTATCTTTAAGCAAAATTCATAATGTAGAAGCATATTCTATTCAGAAACCCAGGAGAAATATTTTCTTTTAAGAGTTTACCAAACCAAAACTTTGAAGCTTGTATTTGTTTCTCAAATTTAAAACCTCGCTTTTCCCTTTTTATTGCTTATGTGTATATAGTACTTTGCTCCATCATATAAAAAAAGGTAGGAACAGTTTTACTTACTCCATAACCCCATGGCATTTCATCAGCTCCTTGATGTGATCCTTATATTCTATATACGGTCCCATGTTTTCCTCCTTCTCAATGGTTTCGAGGATGGGCGTGTTAACAAAGCCTGGGCAAATGGCATTTATTCTCACACCACTTTTCATAAGGTTAGCAGCCATCTGTCAATTGAAAATACAAGGTTTTGGTAGTTTTATAAATGCAGAGCATAGGACAAATATAATTAAAGCTCTTTGAAAGACTCTGGTGTGAAAAATACCAATCAGATATCCTTCTGGCCTCCTAATAATGACAATATTACAGTTGGCTGGTAGCAGAAAATAAAAGAATTTGTATCAAAAGTACTGAATTAACTCCTGAAAGCCTCACCTAATTAATTTTTAAAAAATCAATATTACTAGACAACTCCTGAAAAACAATGATCTTAGTTGCTCTTATCTATTGAACTCTGAGAGAACCTGAAACTAAGAAGGTGAAGCTTAAAATTAATATCGCAAGTTTCCTTTCAAAAACGAGGGTTGTATAAGAGAACATTTGCTTAAAAGACATTGTTAATGGAAAGTTTTAGGACCTTGATTGTAAAGATATTCTTAATTATCTGGAAGGCACTTTAAGTATCTTCGCTTCAGACTAATAATCTTTGGCTTAATTTTCAACCCATTGATTTTATTCAAACTATTTGTAAAATAAAACATACTTGATTATTTGAGGATTCTCTTTGTTTACTTACTAAAATGTATCTGTAACCCCCCAAAATCAATAGGTGTGGAGCTTTCGGGGTCATCTGTGGACAGGCAAGGAGCAGTGAGAAATGGGAGCTGCCTAATGCTGATGTTCCAGCTGAGATCAAACAAAATAACACTCTGTTTTCTCATGTCAGCTCTTCTAACTACAAACAAGTGTCTTTTTCACGGTGTATTGAGTCCATGTTTTTCTAATTTTTGTGCTTTTTGTTCGTGATTTTGTTATTTTAAATGCTCCCCATTCCTGAGCATAATGTTGAAATGCTGTCTAGTGTTCCTGAGAAGGCTGTGATGTGCCTTACAGGGAACATACAAGCCTGAGACGTAAGTGCTGTTGACTCTGAGTTCAATGTCAACACCATACCTATTAAATACAGTATTGTTAACCGGAAACTCAAGGGAAACTTTAAACAGAAATTCACATATGTATTGACTGATCGATCAAAATGATGTGGCCAGAGGCTCGAAGGACCTTCTCTAATTCAGTGTTTGCAAGTGATTGTATCGAACATAAGTACCAGCAACAAGAATTGATTGTACGAATTTCCAGTCTTGTAACTGTAAATAGGAGATTTCTGGCCTTTGAGATTTATTTTGTTTTTTAATACCTTTACGTATTCATTAAATATTGCATTAAGGATTAAGTCCTTGGAAATCAGTTTAAAATTTCCAATCAATTTCAATGAAGATTGTGAGAGGTGCTGATCTTCCTTTTCGGGTCGGACATTTACTGGTCACAAATGTGTTTTCTTTAACCTGAGTATTTCTTGTGTTGTTAATATTTTTCTCTGCATCTGTCTGGTCTCTCTCTGTCTTGTCTAGACTCACCACAGCAGAGACCTCCCAATGTCCTCACCTCTCCTACACTTGTCCTCTCAACACACTCTCTAAGTAGCAGCCAGAATGATCTCACTGAAATGGGAATCTGATCTTGCCACTCTGCGTGTAAAAAAAATCATTGATGGTTTCATTTTTAATGAAGTCTAAGCTCATTACTGAGTGCCCTTAAATTCTACTTAAGGAAGGCTGAAGCTCATACTTTTTAGATTTGGAGTCAATTTTAAAATTAAAGACTTTCTTCCCATTATTTAGCCTGAGGATATTTTTCAATAATACATCTGCATCTATACTGTACCTCATTTTAAAATTATCTATTTTTATTGGTCCTTTTTCATGTGATCTGACACTATTTTTTTGTATAAGAGATTGAAGTATAATATTTTTCTATTTTTTACTCAGATGTATTGAATTCGGAATTTATTCCTCTCGACTGGATAAAAGTCATGGTACACATACATACAGAAAGGAAAAGAGATACTGGGTGTTATAGTCTCACCGCTGCTGAGCGCGTGAATCCAACTACGCCATGCTTAGAAGCACAGTAAACAGGCTGTTGAGCAACTGGCATGAGTCCTAAAACAAACAAAATTTAAACAATTTTACTAAACAATAAGCAGACAAAACCCAATAATTGCTATGCAAATGAATAATTTGTGTCTGTTCGTTTAAAAAATGATCTAGAAAATTCACCGAAATAATCACCAGACAGTTTTGTGAAACTCACTAGTCTTAGCTCAGTTCATTCCTTCTGTGACCTCTATCTACTGCACTGTCCAGAATTCACGGCAGGTAAGTTACAGCCCAGAGAGGCAGCAAAGAGTGATATGCAAGGTTTTCTGTCTCCATGACTTTCTGTCAAGAGAAGTCAATGCTATAAAGAGAAACATTATAGTAATCATCATTACTTAAATCCAGCAAGTTACCATCTAATTTTCAGGTTTTTGGTCTAGATTTTTAAGAGTATATATTCTACATTTTTAAAGACTTCCAAGTGGCTGAAGAGGTTGAAATTGCTTAAGTGGAATTTAGACATTATTATTTGTCTTCATTGCAAATTAGTATACATTTCCCTGTCAACAGTCACAGCCCGAAGTGCTTAAGAAAATTAAAATTTAACTCCTTTTCATTTTGATCTGTAGGAATGAATGCCTAGATCTTCTTGCCCTATGACCTTGGAAAAGAAAACCAGAAATAAAAATCTTCAGTATTGTTTTATTTCCTTGCATCATCATGTACTCAACAACAGAAGTCAAGCAGTGTTAGAATTTGTTTAATTTCCTACATATACACAATAGTGACTAATCAAAAATATGATTCATTTCATGGCCTGGGGGGGAAGGCAGTCTCGTGGCAGTACAGCATTTTTCTCCCCTACCTCCTGGCCCCATTCCCCTGCCCCCATTAAACAACAAGGAAAACGCATTTTACAGTAGTAACTATTGCTATGGAGCTTGTTTCTCATAATTGTCGATTCTCCATCTAATCAACGGTAAGACTTTTAACTAGAGCCATTTGTATATTTTGCTTTTTAATTATTTCCTTAAAGTAACCGATTTTCACATTTTGTGAAATTCATGATTTCTGAGTCAAGAAACAGTGATCCCTGATTACTCTAATGTTATTACTACCAAATGTCATGCTAGTAATACTCAATTATTCTGCCGAGGCACGCTCATCTCCGCCCAGCTAACTAGTCCCAGAATACCACCAATCAGCTGCGCGTGCTGTGCCAAGTTCAGCCAGAAATGCAGATCTTAACCACTCCCTGGGTGCCTGCCAGGTCTCAATTTATAAACTATGTTTTCTCAAGAGCAGTTTAAAGTCTGAGAATGATAGTTTGCACATTGTGCGTCCACCCAGTGATCTCAAAGTACTGTAACAGGTGGTTCTCATCTTGTTTTGTTTTGAAGTTAATTAAAATGTGTAATTTAATTAAGTTTGGCAACATCAGTCAACAAGCAGCCATGATGCCTGCACAGGGTACACAGTATTAGGAGCTGAAATAAAAGCAATAAATAGTTGCACCAGGCATTGCTGCTTCTTATTCCCTAAGGTTGTTCCTGTTTCACCTTCTCCTTAAACATTTCTCAAAGGCAGTGTGCTTGTGGGGTGGTGTTCACCAACTGCAGGAAATGCAAAGTGAACCGTCATCAGAGATAAGCTAGTTGACACAGCCATAAAAAGCACAAGGCCGCTGTTCCTAAATGTTGTCAAGGATGGATTTGGAATGAAGTTTTGTTATGTATGTTGAGGTCTGAACTTCTGAACCCGAGCTAGTTCAAAGTGTCACATGACTGCAATGAATCAAACACTGTGATGTTGTTTCTGTTAAAGAAGCAAGCACTAGACATACACTTTGCTTTAAAGGTAGAGCTGGAAATGCAACCAGAACATGAAGGAAGTTGCATTTTTAAAGTGGCACTTGGTTTTATGAATCTCGTTGTAATGTTCTAATGACATTTTCACTGCTATCCTGCCAAGGTTTCCTCTTGCATAGTTTCACTTTCTGATATGAGATGAAAGGCTTCATGAATTAATTTTAGACATGCAAAAATTGAGGTATTACCAACATACAATCAAAGTTTTGACGTATGTGTACACCATGAAACCACAACCACAATTAGCATAATGAACATATCCGTCACCCTAAGTCTCCTCATGTCCCTTTGTCATCCCTTCCTTTTGCCTTCTCCCTCCCCCCAGCCTATCACCCATCTGCTGCTTTGAGTCACAATAGATCTGTTGGCCTTTTCTGGAAGTTTATATAAATGTAATCATACAGTGAAAACTTTTGTCTGACTTCTTTCACTCAGGATAATTATTCTGAGATTCATTCGTATGGTAGTGTGTATCAATAGCTTATTTTTCTTTGTTTTTTTGTGAATACTATTTCACTGTAAGGTTAAATTCATCTATTGAATATACATTCACCTGTTAATAGATATGTGGGTTCTTTATAGTTAGGAGAATTACAAATAAAAACTTATTTTTCAATTATTTAGGAAAGTTGGAGTTAATTTAAATAAATAGTTTTTACCTCAACAGCACATGTAGAATTTTAACTGTTGTTTCTTACGTTTCCAACAGGTAGGATGGGTTCGTGATCTGCAGTGTTTTTCCCAACTTGCCAACTGACTTTCTTTCTTCATTCTTTTCCAAGGATCTCTGAACTTTGTATTGGCTGCCTGCCCCACTTCTGCTGCATTAATGCCTCAGAACTTTGGTGCCACTGGCCTCAGACACCACCTTGCTGTCCACCACTGTGTGATTGGTGGTCTTCTGGATGGATCGTACAGAGTTGCTGTTGTCCAGAGCATCACCAAGATCAAAGCCCTCCCCTTCTTCCAGCAGGCGATGGTAGGTGGTGATCTCAGCCTCCGGCTTGATCTTGATGTATAGCAGGGCCTCACACTCCTGGGCACCGCCCCTCTACCCTGGTCTGGGCCGGCTCTGACTCTAGGTGAGGCAGGATCCCATTCAGCTCTTCCATCTGCATGACATAGCGAATCTCCACATCCCTCAGGCTGTTCTCCAAACTGGCCTGCAGATTCCTCACTGAGTCCAGGTTGACCTTTAAGGACTGGACGGAACATGTCAGCTTCATGTGTCATCTCAGCAGCTCCTATCTCAGTGGTCACTGTGGTGTTCTCCTCAGTCTGCTGGAACCAGTATTTGTCTAGATCCTCTTGTTTCTTTTGAACCAGCTTATCATCCTGGGCCCAGCTGTCTTCCATGATCTTGCCGAGGTCCTGAGATTTGGAGTCATCCAGTTCCACAGTCAACCCAACTTGGCAATCTGGCTTTTTTCTACCACTTACTTCCTCCTCGTGGTTCTTCGCAAAGAACAGCTCCTTTCAGAGCCTCAATCTCTGTCTCCAGCTGCAGCCAAGTGATAATGGGTACCTTTCAGAGCTCATTGATGTCACTCTGCTCAGAATGGCACATGGCCAGCTCTGTCTCATATTTAACTCTGAAGTAATCAGCAGCAAGATAGGCACTGTCAATCTGCAGAATGATGGGGGCATTGTCCACAGAACTTGCAAAGATCTGAACCCTCAGGTCCTATTATTAGCCTCTCACCTTCTGCAGGCAGGAGGCCAGGTAGACATTGAGGTATTGCACAGTTTCCTTTTTGCTCTGGATGTCCCCTGTGCCCACCAGACCCCCGGCCATCCCTGAAGCCAAGCCCTCAGACCCCAGCTGTCGTGCACGCTGGTGGAGTACGACACAGAGACCTGGGGGCCTGAACCCCCAGTGCCTGCAGAGATGCCAGCCGGGCCCAGTGGCTGAGTGACTTCATGTAGCCCAGGGTCAAGTAGTTTGAGGAGGAGCTGGAGCAGATGTTGAAACTCATCTTGTTCAGGGAAGAAGGTGAGAGGCCAAGCAAGACTCAGGTTCAAGCAGCTCAACTGACTTTAATAATAAAGTCTGACTTTGATAGTAAATGAAGAAATTTACTATCTCTACCTCAGTTTGCTGCTTTGAAAAAGCGGGTTAAATGGGGGGGGGGTGAAGAGCTCTTTTTCAAGTTTTGTGATAATGATATTAGTTGGAATGAGAAATGTTCAGAAATCAAACATTTTCCATGGGATCTCAAGACACACTTTCCCTTCACAGGTAGAGGACTATTGCTAATTGGGTTCAGCTTCAGTATTGATTAACCATACTTGTTACCTTAAGCCCACACACCAACACATAATGTTTCTATGTGCTTCAGATAAAAATGTGTTCTAACGCTGGTAATAAGGGTCAACACAGAGAACTGTGCCAAGCATCCCGAGTGTGTGTGGTGTAAATCTGGGGACACCACTCGTGTGGTAGTTTGTATAAACAGCACCCCTAATGTTTGTGCAGTTTACAGAGCTACATAGGGCAGCCCTCTCTGGTGGAGGAGAGTAGTCAGCAAAAGAGAGAAAAGGTGAAGGGATTAAGACAGAGAGAAAAACAAACAAACAAACCTCACAGACACAGAAAACAGTGTGGTGATTACCAGAGGGAAAAGGGGGTAGGAGCAGTAGAAGAGGGTAAAGAGGGAATAAATGGTGATGGAAGGAAATTTGACTTCAGGTGGTGAACACATAATATAATATAGAGATTACGTATTATAAAATTTACATTTGAAACCTATATAATTTTATTAACCAGTGTCACCCCAATATGTTCAATAAAGAGAGAGCCAGAAAGAGAAAGAGGAGCAGGTGAAAGTAAAGAAAAAGAAACAAGCTAAATGTTGGGTCATAGAAATTAAAGATAAAAGCATTTCAACAGACCTAGAGTGGTCACTGTTATCAAGTAGAGAATTAAATGTTCATCGCTCTCTTTGATATGAACACGTGTCAGTATCATTCATCTGAAAATATTCTTTCTTGGTCTCACATCTTTCTCCAGCTACCACGCCATTTCTCGTGGCCACAAAAAGTACTCAGAAGAATTAGCATAGTCATCATCTCTACCCCCCACCTCCCATTTGCTCCATAGTTCACTCTAAGGAGGCTTTCATCTGCCGACTCCAGGCAAACAGATCTTAACCAGCTCCTTCTCCTGTCCTTTGTTGGCTCTTTCCCCTTGACCAT